ATGTTTTTTGTGCGATTCAGACGATTTTCTTTCGAAAAACGTACGGTTATTTTGTAAAAAATTTCGGTCCGGTTTGCGCACTTTATAAGTCGGGACTTAGAAAAGATCCGGGTCTGCGGTCCGAAAACTCCAAAAGTGAAATTTCGTAATTAGGTCTGGAGCGCGATTTGGAACTTAACGAGCCCAAAAACCTTTAGTATAAAGTGCGTGGTTTTTCGTCTTGAATTAAACATTCTAGACTCGGACTAAGGAAAATTATTGTACGATCGGAGTTCGAATCAGTGAAAGTAAACAAAGTGGCGACAAGGGCCTACACTGAGAAAAAACTATGGTTTATAAACCTATTAGAGGTAAATATGGAACACCTATAATAGTCGTAAATAAACTAATGATTCTCGGTCTGTGAACCATACTAAGGTCTCTGTACCTAATTAAGGTACAGAGACCATAACTAAGGTATATGTGCTATTATTATATGTAGAGGTACTACTATTAGTGGTGTTCCATATTTACCTCTAATAGGTTTATAAGCCATAGTTTTTTCTCAGTGTAGCGCGCTCCTAAGGGGTTGGCTAAGCCGTTGGATAAAATGGACGGCCCCCGAAGGTAGTGCAGATACATTAGTAGAAAAGTTGCAAGGGATTAAAGATGTAGTGGATATCATGAGAAATACGGGAGAGCAATTAAATAAAATAGAGAGGAAGCAAAAGGAGATGGCGGAGGAAATCGGGACCCTGCCCCGAGAACCAAATATAAAAAACTCTTACAGTCAAATGGTCAGGAATAAGCAGGAGGAAAGGAGAGATGATGTCAAGATTATCCTTGAAGATGTCAACGACCCCGACGGTAAAGAGGTGAAGGACAAAGTTAAGGACCTCATCAAGGACCAAGGTTGGAAGGTTCAAGGGTTAGCCAAAACAAAGACAGGGGCTATTCTCACGGTAAAGGGTTCGGAAGAAGAAGTAAATAGAAAGCTAAAAGAGATACCAGTGATCAGAGAGGGAAAACTTACGATGAGGGAAGTAAAAGACAAAAAGCCTATGGTTCGAATTAATGGGGTTGATTCAGAAATAAACGAGGAAGAATTAATAGAGGAAATCCGTCGGAAGAACTTCCAGGGATGGGAGAGGGAAGATTTTAAGAAAGCGGTAGGAAGGGGAATAAAGAAGAAGACGAGGAATGACAAGGTTGCAACGTGGATTCTAGAGGTTTCAGGGAAGCTCAGACAACAAATTCTAGAAATGGGGATAATCTATGTGGCATACAATGGATGTCGGGTATGGGACCATATAGACATACTCAGATGCTACAAATGTCACAAACTAGGGCACCCGGCGAAAAGATGCGGGGAGAAGGAAGATCTATGCTCGTGGTGTGGAAAGCCTGGACACAAAAGAGCGGAATGTAAAGTAGCGGCCCCCACATGCGCATGTTGTCATAGTCAGAAAATAAGGTCAGATCACGACGTCTTCGATCATGGATGCCCGTCATTGATCAGAGAGATGGAGTGGATAGTTAGGAGAACAGACTACGGAGCATGAATTGTAAGGGAAGAAATACCAAAGGGAAATTAGGGAACTTGGGGAAAAAAGAGAAGGGGTTAAAAATCATACAGGTTAATATAGGGAAAAATAAGGAGGAGATGGATGAATTCAGGGGAAATGGGAAATGGGAATTCAGGGGACGAAATGATGGATTCAAGGGGCAAAAAGCCACTTTTTCCAACATTCAAAGAACCACAAAACTTTTGACTTTTTAGTTCACTCATTCAGGTTCATGACTTTTTGCATAGACCTGATCGGAGTTATTTCCTGGACGAGTTGGTGTGTTTTCGTTCTCACCGATTCAATTGCAACGAAAAGAAGATACTCTCATTAAGGAAGATGGTCCAACAAAACTAATAGTTGTCATGTAACTGGAGGCGGTGGAATTTCTCCTTTCTTCTTTGCAACCATGAAACATGAGAATGAAAAAAAGGAAAGGACAGAATTCCAGATTTCCGACCAAGTGGCAACGCATTTGAAGGCGCTCTGCTTTGGTCACCTGGTCGTTGTGAAACGGGTCAATTTTTATGCAAACAATTTCGCGATGTTTTGTCTCAATAATGTGACTGCCTTTCCCCACAAGCCTCCCCCCCCCCCTTAATCGGGTCGCCATGAGCTGCGACAACCTTAGCCGCGGATTTTCCCGCGAAATTTAATCGATTTTGTGACGCAACGTATTGTTTACCTCTCATTCAATAATCGCTTTTAGAGCACGGTCGCAGAGCAATCTCCTTAATGCGTCTATTACAACAGAGGCAGGGAAAATATTATTTAAACCACCGAGCCAGCGTCATCGACTTCAATCTGCGAGTACACTAATCTAACTTGAGATGGCTGTGAAATGTACTTTTTTGGATCTATCTTAATGATCTGGACGTAGTTCTACCAAAGAGACCTATGTGGAAGTGAGAAATATGGGGTGTGCTCGTTAGTCTCTTTGCGTGGCGAGTGAATGAGAATAATTGTGCGCCAGTGACGTTAACGGAGGAGGACGCCGCGTCACGTTCCTCGTGGTTGCGGTAGTCGTGCTCATTAACTCATGAGCCCTGTCCACAAGGCTCTCTTGCCATGCCCGCGGCTCATGAGTTCCGCACTCAGTTGCACATAGGTCTCTTTGATAGAATGCAATATCCCGCTTTTCCAATTCTTCAAAAGGAACCACGCCCACTTTTACATTGCTTCTTATGCAGATTTCTAGAGCACACCCCACATTTCTCATCGCCACATAGGTCTGTTTGGTAGAAATACGTCCATCTAAAGCATTGACTTGTCCTGTATCCTGTGGATTTTTTTTTTTTTCCAATAATAAAATAACATGTACATTTTTCAAAACCATCACAATATTACTACTACTTCATTGTTTTCAATGGTATTGATGATCGCAATTCAATGATATTCAACTGAGCAAGAAAATGAGAACATTCCAGAAGCTTAAAATCAAAGTAAGGAAAGTTTCACTTGATATCAAATTCTGCTCCCAATGTATGAAATCCGATGTTTATCCTAATACGCGGAATTTTCAGCTTCTGTATTTTGCTTTTGTTTTCATTGTTCGTTCTTTGAAATTACCTGATGAAGGCTTCTGCTGAAGCCGAAATGGCCACAGTATTAATGTGTAAATAGTGACAACCGAATTTGCATCGGGCGAAAAAGGAAGAAAAGTGAGTGACCATCACAATACGTCGAAAATTATCAAAATTTAATGTTTCGTTGCCGACGATTTCCTTAACACGGCAGACTTCCCTTGGTGTTCTTCCTCATACGAGTGTTGATTTCGCGACAAATGCACGCGGAGGAAATGCACAAGGAGGAGTGAACGACCGGCAGAAAGCGAAGTGCAACGGCACAATCGCATTCTGCAGCTGCTAATTGCCGATTAATATTCGCAGATTGAAGGCGCTGCGCACTCAATTGCCGTGATGAATCGCCCTTTGTATTCTCAACGAGCGGGCATTGATCAGATGGGCCGTATTCCTGCCAACAGAACCATGTGCATTAAGGCATGCGCCATGAGACCCGTAAGAATGTGTGCGTGACAGGGCTCACGTCATGATGCACATAATGCCTTTGTATTTGCAACGAGCGGGCATTGATCAGATGGACGTATTTCTGCCGAGCGGAACTATGTGCATTAAGGCCTGGGCCCTGAGTCCCATAAGAATGTATGCATAATAGGGCTCATGTCGTGATGCACATAGTTCCGCTCGGCAAAAATACGTCCAGATGTCAGTGCCACCTTTGTGCAGGCATTCTCGTTTGACTTTAATGCCCGCGTCCTGGACTTCGCTGCTAATACGAGAACTTGAATGAATAATGCAACAACAAGAGAATGCAGAACAAGAGAAAATATAAGGAACCAAACCTAAAATATTAATAATCAAAATAAATAAAAATAAAGAGATAAATATAAAAACTCTGACTTTTATTTTATTATAATGATAAAAATTAGATCACATCTGTTCTGTGTTTTATTTTTCTATTTTTGGTTCAATTTTTAAAATTAATTTCTATGAATTTTATTTTGTTTTTAAATTTATGTTAGTTCCTTTTAGTATATTTTCATTTTTTCTTATCTTTTATCTTTTACTTTGTTTATTGATTATTTATGAAATTATCAAGAAGTGTAGAGGTCCATTGCCACTTTTTCAATGGCTGAAGTCGAAAAATGCGTAGATCGGCTTGCGACGTCGTAAGTCTTCCCTATTGAGTGTAAGTTGCATACTCGAGTCAAATCGCATTCGACGGGAAAATGTGGAGTAATTTTTGTTTGCTATCAGGCAAACTTTCAACAGCCCGATGTCTGACTCCTCTTGAATAGCGAAATAGCTGAAAATTCTGTAAGCTCAGGAAAATGTCCCTCCTTCTGAGCTTGGTGCCTCGTTCGCTCGCAAGGACACGTCTGTGGACTTCATCGGTACTTACTACCCACATTACCGGTGGTTAACTCCCGTCTAATGGCGACGTTCTTCGCGTTATATTTTTTAACATTGGAGAAGTGGGGCTAAATGTACATGACAGTGCAACACTGATAACTAACAATGTCTTACCGTTTTGGAACAAAGCGCGTATTCCAGTGAAACATGAGCATGATTGTACGGAAAAAGTTAAATCCTTCATGAAACTTGGAAAAGAGGCAAAGAAACAAGAGCAGATGTCTTATCGTTTTGGAACAAAGCGCGTATTCCAGTGAAATATGAGCATGATTGTACGGAAAAAGTTAAATCCCTCCATGAAACTTGGAAAAGAGGCAAAGAAACAAGAGCAGATGTCTTATCGTTTTGGAACAAAGCGCGTATTGCAGTGAAACATGAGCATGATTGTGCGGAAAAAGTTAAATCCCTCCATGAAACTTGGAAAAAAGGCAAAGAAACAAGTGCAGATCTCCAGACATTGAAGTTTCTAAACGAAATAACTATGTTGAACAATTGGACGACCGGTTTGACATTGCCCACCAAGATGCCAGGAGAATCATCACCATCCCTGAAGACGGTTCCCGGACTTTTCGGCGCGACCGTTTCGGCGCCGGACATTTCGACGCGGGTGTTTCGGCACGGGAGGCTTTCGGCGCACGGCTTTGTTGGTATATTTCAATAGACGGTAAATCTCAGAGGGGTGGCACCATGCTCTTCATTCTCTCTTGATGTCTGCACATCCAACCATTTGGAAGCTTATAAGCGCTTTTAAAAAAGGAGAGGGCCTCACTCGAGTTAGATTTGAGGGCTTTGTTTCTAAAAAAGAAATTCAGACACAGAGGAAAAAATATGTCCTTCTCACGAATCGTCTTGAAGCTATTTGTAAGATATTTGCAGACGCTCCAACCCTTGACTTCTTGCGGGTTATCGCTCATAATTTCACTTTTTAGGTGTTTTGTCTTTGTTTTTAGTGACAGAGGCGGGCTGTCGCTCATAATTTCATAGGTGTTTCACACACATAGGCGTTTCGTCTTTATTTTTTTTTAGCTTTTTTCACTTTTTAGCAATGTTTAGGAATTTATCAATTTTTTAGTGCCAAGGAACAAATACACTTTTTACACTTCCACAAGGGGGGGGGGTGAAAACTTCCAAGACTTGACTATCTGAAACAATTTATGTAGCAAATTCTTGGAATTTTTCGTCAACCACACCCACAACTTCCACTTTCTTTGTCCTCCTGTCTCCGGAATATTTTGACTGGAAATCGTTCTGGAAAATAAGGTAAGCAGTCCCTTTTTGTATTCTTAAAAGTATAGCACGTGCGCCGAAAAATCCTGCGCCGAACGATTCCGCGCCGAAAAGTCCGGACACCCCAGAGGACAAATAGTTTTTGGAAAATCAACGAAGAAAGGGACGATTTGGTTTCATGTACGGTGTGGACTAGGAGCTTCATAGACGGGAATTGAGGGCCAAACAGCGAGAACACAGCAGCGAGTAACGGGTAAGGGGAAAAGCGAGGATTCCAAATTTTTCTGTAAATTTTTGTTATCTTTCCAACTGTCACTTGTAAAAATAAATTCATGGAAAAGCTCCTGTTAATAAGTGACGCCCACTTGATACAGGAACACAAATAAACTCAGACGGCTGGGTATCTAATTCCTACTAAAATTATTTCACCTACCATCACGAAACCGTAAAGCATAAAGAAGGCTTATTCGCACTGGAAAAAAAACACATTGGATCTAGAGTCCAGACTCTTAAAAACATCGACAAGAAAAATTACTCATGATTCAATCAGAATCTAGCTTAAATCAAGAACCAAGCCTCTTATTTTAAGCGGATTGCGTTTTGATTCAAGCAAAAATCCGATTGAATCAAGAGTATTTTTTCTTGTCAATGTTATCAAGAGTCTGGACTCTAGATCCAATGTGTTTTTTTCCAGTGAACGTATTTCTCCTCTTTGTACTTGCTGGTAGGGTATGAACACAGGCACATGTTCTCACACTGAAAAAAACTCCAGCCGTGGACTTGTTCCGGGCTCAAAGGCCGTAAGTTCCGGGCGTAGCAGCATCCGGAGCGGTAGAAGCTACGGCTCCAGAGCCCGGAACTTTTTTTCAGTGCATTACTAACGTCTAGTTTATCATTTGATCATGTGATCCTTGTTGAGCCCCTTCCTTATTGTTTTTAATTGTAAATTAATAACCATATCCGTAAAAATGCGATGAAATGAGTAAAGAAACAACTACCGATTAATATAGTAAAACATTTTACCGTACTAAGGAAAAACACCGTTTGAACATTCGAGAGTTGCGAAATTTCCTTTGATGAAACGCTTAGTCTAGAGGAAAATTATGAATATTTTTCCTGGAAATTATCAGGAACTTCAGATCAAAATACGAACAAAATTCTCTGAAAAATTAAAAGAAAAACATTCAGAAGTTTACCAAGGAATTCGTGTTTTAATAAAGACACTTTGGCAACGCCTGATGGTTCATACGGTGTTTTTCCTTAGCACGGCAGTATTCAGTAGAGGTATCGACACATCGATGAAGCGAGACGTGCGAACAAGGGGCGTGGACCGCACAGGGATTACGGCGCCAGGCGTCGAGGAGTCTGAACTGTGCTGCCGTGAATTGAGGAAGAACGCCGTAAGAGCTTTCAGACGTTGCCATATTTCCTTCAATTAAAGACAAATTTCCGGGTGAAAATTTCCATCGGTTACGTTCAAAATTTCTGAGAATTTAGTTCTTAATTCCATCTAGAACATCTGAAAATTTTAAGGCAAAATAAGCATAAAATTCCTCAAAAATACATGTTTAATCCGGGGACATTTGGCAACCCTCGAATGCTCATACGTTGTTTTCCCTTAGCAAGGCAGTGTGAGCTCGGAGCAGATCAACGCACAATGCGCGGGTTGATTGCTCTCCGCCACCCCGGTCCAAGCTCGCGGCAATTACCGTGCGTATATTTACGGTAATTTTATGCATTGTGCGAGCGGGTAATTGAACGGTCAGTGCGTAGGGTTTCGCGCCTGGCCTTTCGAGTCCGCAGTCGCGCGCGTTTAGCGTCATTTTCGCTCTATTCTCGTTTCCATTGCGGCCAGATGTGGAGGTCATACGGATTAAAATCGACGATGCTCAACACAACATTCTGTGATATCGTAGCAGGTGATCATGTTTTGCCGATTGTTTCGAAGGTTGTCTTTATTGCCGTTGGAGTTGAGGGGGGGATACGCTGGTGAAAAGGGAAATGTATTACTTACTTTCTTTCTTCTTCGCCCGATGAGTATATATAAAAAGAAGAAAGTAAGTGACCATAGTTCCCGATAAAGAAAACAAAGAAGTAGTAGGAAATTTCTTATTTTTTGCTGTAGTCGCGCGCGTTGGCGACATGTTCGTTTCTTCTAATTTTCACTGCAGCCAAATAAGGAGGTCAAATACGAATTGAAATTGACGATACTAAACACAAAGTCCTGTAATGCCATTGCAGGTAATCGTGTTCTGCTAATAATTGTTTCAAGAGTTTTTTGTATTACATGCCGATAGAGTTCAGGCAGCTGTTCCTGGAAGAGGGTAAGCTAGCGAAAAGGTGAGTTTTCAAACGTTGAGAATACTTAAACATTAGAATCACGAAGTTTTTAATTGTTAAAATGAATTAGCAGGACTTGCCGATCAAAATAAACGTAACCTGTAATTATTTTTTATTTCGCTATAGATAAAATATGTTCATCATATATTGGCGTAATATTTGTAATACAATACTTTAACAAAAGTCTGTTTCCGTGTTGTCATCTTTGATTCAAAAGGAGGTACCGTATATTGATCATTCTGAAGGTCCATGAAGATCAATTTCATATTCCAATATTCCAAGAACTTAAGCTTTCTTCCTTATCGAGGCAGGTCAGTGGCAGTGCGCACTTGGACCGGAAGAACTATCCCAAAACAGCAAAGTAACGGCGGGTTGAGTTCTGCAACTGGTTCTTGACAAAATCTGCCCAGCATCTATTTCCACGTAGAGTATAATGAACAGACGGGGCGACATTTATACCAGAGCAGGAATATTTAATCAAAGTAATAGCCACATTTGGGCTCACGATTATCCTCATTCTATCCACGAATATAGCTTCCAACATGATTCGACACCTGATGATAGTCGAGATAAAATTTGGTTTGCCCAAAAATTTACAAAACTTATTTGGATGGAAATACCTAGGACCCCTATTTGAAGTCACCCTTCTAACGACCTAAGTCGTAGTGAAATGATACCATCGTGCGCACTGAGAGACCGACCGAATCGTTCCGTGATTCAGATTTCGAAAATTGACTTTTGTAGTGAATTGACAGTGAAATAAGAGCGGAATAGTTAAGTTAGTATAATCAAATCGAGGGATAGAAACTTCTTCGACCTTCGGTTCTCATCGCGCTTTCGTGCGGCTACGATGATTCCCCTCGCTTTATGGCCTTGGTGCCATGTTGGTCCTCAATTCACATCCGCCAAGTTCAAATCGTACCTTACCAATCAAGGAGTCAAATCTCATCGAAGAATAGCACCCTATCATCCAAGCATAAACGGACCATTGTAAGAGGAATGCTCCTTGTCTTGATACTACAAGTTGGGATGATTTGGACTGCAGTTTGCAATTTGGAACTATAGATTCCGGCTCCTCTGGAAAAACACTTATGTGCATTGGGAAACTAATGGCACATACGTTGTTTTTAAACCGGGCTAGAATCTATAGATCCAAATTGCAAAATGTAGTCCATTTCTTACTTACTCGATAAAACAGAGATTAGGGTGGTCAATCGATTCTGTCACAGGATACGAGAAAAACACAGACCCTCCACTTATAATCTGTGATAAAATAACAACTTAATTTGGGGAAATATAATCTGTGTATATATCTGTATATCAGTGTTTGTAATGTTTGTTAGGTGATATCTATCTTTTCCTCTGCTCCCCGGCTGGTTGAATCAGGGGACAATGTGTTTTTACTTATTTTCCTTATTTTGTTTGTACGCTGCTCAGTCTGCGCCTGATTGTGGTGGCCATCACTCACCGAAACGTCGCCAGTTGAATTAACGATGTAAATTTAAAATATAAATAAAAAAATAATATGAAAGGTTATACAATATCATGAAATTGATTTAATTATTTAATCTGTGCATACATCTATATGATTCTTGTGATCTGTCTCGATGAGCTCTCACGCTTTTAGAATGATATACTTGCAGTATGAGGTTGTGTAGTGGGTTTGTGCATAAGTTCTGCACACGTAAGCTGTATACAAAACACTGTGTAAACGACTGCGCTAAGACCCCCCCCCCCCCCCCNTGTCTGCATTTACCGATTTGCTTGTTAGTGATGAAAGTTTGTGATAGAAGCTTGTTTCCATTGAGAAAAAAGAAGCGGCAAGAATATATGATGCTAAATACTAGATCGCCTTCTAAATTGCACAGTAGGCAATTTCTCTGCATCAGAGATAGGATGGTTGCGTTCGGCTGTTTTTTTTCTTCATTCGCTAGTTTATTCACATTAGTTTATCCCTACGCTCACTTTCCGACGAAAAAAATACCGCGTTTAATACATCATTACATTCAATTAAGATAGTTTATGAAAAAACACTTAACGCCCACTTTTCCAATTTCACACTACTGAGATGAGCGTTTAC